TCATTTTCTATCCGACGTTTTTAGGTGTTTTTTTTTTTGGGGGGGGGTGTAGATAGCGCAGTTATTCTAGTCTCCTATGGCAATAGCCCCGTTGACACGGGGTAAATAGTTTATTTAGTGGAAATCCGCTTACAGTACTCGATACTCAGGTATATAACCATCCACAAACAAGGGCATCTAAACACTAGATGAGGTGATAAGGACAAAATGAACTGGTATACAAGGATGGATGAGCTTTCTTACTTGGAGTCATGTTTGAAACGGTGCTTTGTTCCAGGAGCCTACAGGCTGCTAACGGACCGATCATCCTTCAAGATGTACTAAGCCGGATTCAGAGGATCGGAAAACGTACGGAAATGATGTTGATTCTCTGAGCTAAACGCACCTCGTTGATCAGTGATATGTCTAAAAGGCTGTGGTTGGTTACCTAGCAAAAGAATTAATTCCAGTGGTCAGTTTTACCAACAACATCAGGAAGATAATTGATAAAGAACCTCATGTAATTAATTCGTGTCTGGCGTGACTGCGTCTCTATGTGAACTGTCGAAGTAGCTGACCATGATGTTCATTAGATGGCAAGTTCGAATACGGTACATAGATCGGTTGATTTCACCCAGATGTTTTCGGACGCTGGGATACCACAAATGGCTGCCTTCTCAGCTTTAACACTGCGCACTCAAGTGTGACAACTAACTTAAAGAGCATCAAGTCGCTACATAGACATACTAACGTATCAATGCTATCATTCGCCTGCGAGATGTTTGGCCTGTGTCATATGAGCATGCTCGAACAATACTTCTTAGTTCACACTATACCGACCCCACTGCCACTCGCATGAAGTTTAATGTATAATTCTGAATCGTAAAATCTCCCAAGACGAAGCGATCGTCAACCATGGGTCGAGATTTTGCACATACTGAGTAGAATGCTTTGCCAGGATCCTCGTCGCTGGTACTTCTTTCCACATACAGTTGTTTTAGTTTCAGGACCCAGAATTTCTTAGCACAGCACGAACTCAATGGGAAGTTGAGGGTACTAGTCGGTGGACGAAACGTATTTCCAAACTTGAAAATGCTATTTCGTTTTGGTGATAGAGTACAAGTTCTTCACGAAATGGTTGCCCCATGGTTTCACTATGTTCGTATTACTGAACGTTATTTTACGTACTGTTTCCTGATTTACACTGTGTTCGAGTTGGATTGTTTCACAGAACTGACACAGTGCTAGGAAGTCGCTCGTATACATATTCCCATATCGTTCTGTGATGCTATCCCAAATACGGCTTGTTCTGTAAGTGACTCCCGAAACGCCAGCTAGGCCTTCCAATTGACAACTATACAAGCTGGGCCCACTTTCTCCGCCCACTTTAGGGACGCAGTAAGCATTGGATGCTAGACTGTCCGTATTTTGTTTGATGTCGGAATCCAGAGTCTCTGTGTACAAGGCCTCTTCGCTTACTAAAGTGACACTTCTTGCCTTTCGGAGACACGGATTCCTTGTTTTGTTTCACACTCCGTCAAAATTCCCCGAACTTGGAGCATTCTAAGTGGAAGATCGGCCTGCTCGATGTTAGTCTTGTTCTGGACGACCGCTTCAACTATCTTGCGAACCAGCATTTTTAAGGATCGCGGCTACTCGCTTCAAAGGCCGTCTATTTTCCTACTTTTTACTGGATATTTTCGATAAAAGCGATTTTTACGATGAGCTACAGAAACATCTGATCTCACAACCGATATCCCCAACCGCAATAGCCAGTTTGGAGTCGTCTGTGGGGTGGGGGGAGCTGTAGGTTTCAACGTAGAACAGGACCTGGGGATTAATACAGTTGGGAGCCAACCGTGTGCAATATGTTTGGTTTTCCCCTAGCTACTTGTAACCCAAAAACTGGTTAACATGACTAACTTTGAACCCGTAACTCTCAAAAGAAGGACCACCAGTTAACTGACTGCCTGTTCACTACTATCTTCTCAGCTTTAACCAATTTTCTTTTGAAGATTTGACTGTTTCTCCATAGACATGCACACAGCAACCATGCCACCGCCGCGGTTCCCGGATTCACATGAATCTCGTTTGGGACCACTCATCTCGTCCAGCTAACTGTTGGATACATATGCCCAACGCTTCTACTTTTCTAGGCTTGTGCTGTCAGGTCATCCATCCAGTTTAAGAAGACCCTATGCGTTTTTTTCAGAAAGGACTTTCGGTGTTGAGACAGCTACAAATTTCGATAACTAGTTCGGCCAGTGTGAAAAATCTTTCTGGAAATACCGACGATGGTCGACCAGAACAAGTTGAGTAGATTAACTAGACGCTTCAGCTTACTATTCAATCATCAACTGCCCATCACCAATAACGGCCTCCACGCCGTTCGTCACCGATTTTCCTAGTCAAGGTGAGTCAGTGGCGGCAATCATACCAATAAAAGACAAAAAAGTGTACAGGTGAAGGGACATAACTCTCCAGGATCTTTTTGCGGTCAGTACCTAAGCCTCTTCAAAATCTTATCTCAGTTTTGGAGGCCGAGGTTCTCCTACTGGTTTGAGATGAATGTGTAGCACTTGTGATAATCAGAAGGGTAACAGAACGGTACATAAGAACTATCGGAATGTCCGTCCGACGGAAATTGCAGCAGATCTTTGCCACACCACTGATGCGCCACTTCAGAGAATCGAGTGTCTCACCAGATCGAATCTGGCGGTCTCAGATGCAGGAAGAGGGACCACCAACCAAATATCGGTTTTCGGAAACTGCCGCGAAATCTGGTAACGAGCTACTGTTTGCTTCATTGGAAAAAAAAATTTACTGTATCAGTTACGTCGCTGACCCATTACATCTCACTGCTCGAGCAATCGAGCCTGTGGGAAAAAGACAAGGCTTTTACTTCAGAAGTGTGTTTGAAAAACATGTCCCTTTTCGCCCGCACTTTTCAGTTTTTCTACCGAATGGGAAATGTCTCATACTCTGGCAAATTTCCAAGGTCACAAATGAGTTCTACTACGTAGACTACAGATTTTGAAGGCGCTGGTGACATCGTCATCCTGAGCAAAGTTCCAACAGGATTGTAGCCTATCCTTACTCACATCAGTCACTGTTCTTCGCTGGTTAACTTTTGAAGAAAAACTTCACAGTCCTCAACCAAGTCTATTCTCTTAAGTACTGCGTTTCTGCCGTCCCGAATGGCAAAACACGACAAAGATAACCTTTTATTCAGCTGGAATCAGCAGTCCCTTACGTAGCATTTGATCATTCCGCCCGTACTGAGTGTGAGGTCTACTCTGTCTGTGCCGACCCAGAGTGCTTGCTTACAACGAGTCCTGAAAGTACGCTTGAACGGCAGAGTAGTGATGATGTCGGAAAGACTTTCCAAGTTGACCCAGCTACTTACGATGTTCTGGACACGTACTTCGTAAACCGACGGACTTCGAACCACCCTGTTCACATTCGGGAGGACAATCGAAGGTCTGGCTGTTGCCTTCCAGGACCGACTTGAACTGCTGGGTATGTGTACTCAGCTTAGTGGAATAGAAACTGGAAGGCATTGCTCAGGCCTTGCTATCGATCATGCATCACAGTCAGCAACGATTCTAAATATTCTTGCAGTCGATATGTTCTCACCCAGGAAAAGTTCGCTGTAAGTTGAAGAATATACTGATCACGACAGAGAAGTTTTTTGCATTTCCAAGCGTCACAGGAACTTTCGTCTCAGCAATCTCATGTCACACTGTTCCGGTAGCCTGTTGCTTTGTTTGCTTTGCGCTTTTTGGGTTTGAAACCTGTGGACAAAACAACGCCTTTTTTCCTCGTTATGAATCCGCCTATCCCACAGGCTTCAACCAGTTGGGCATTACCGCCCGAAGCAATTTGGTCCGTGGTGCCATGTACCCAGTGATGTTGCTGCTCCTCAGTCGCGATTACCATCCAGAAACCGACGAGTACAACTACTTCGACTTCACAGACGAAGAACGCGCCGTGATCATGCATCATTTTCCCACCTTCCAGCGGTTCACTGAACACCTCCGTATGGCTGGTCGCCTACTTCATCATCTCTGCCTGAGCTTGCCTGAGTTATCCTTATCGGCCGCTGTGGAAATCCTTCGCAGTAAGTTTCACCTGTCACTTGTTGTCCCAAGTGGCACAAGTCCGATAGGACATGTGCGGGATTGACACGATTTGTTCAAGATTGAGCGATAGAGCGGCTTTAGTTCACGTAAGCTGCCCTGTACTTTTACAAATGCTTGATCGCCTCTCTCCTGAGTGGCGTGTGCTGTCTGTTTGTCAATCGATGAGCACTTGTGTTCCAGGTGTTGGACAGCAGTGGGTAGTTGTATGTATGTGTTCCAGACAGATCCAGCTAATCACCGAGCTAATGTGCAAGTGTGCATAGGTCAAAATCGACCTTGGTTTTTCTCTGCGCACTTGCGCAACATTGACAACAAAATAATAAGGCCAACGTAGGACACGATAAGTTGCTTGTACATGTTTTTTACTTATTACTATTGTTCTTAGGAGCGTTGGTATTCACGTAATTGCCATGACTGTTGTGCGTTATGGATGTTAGCTCATAGTCATTCTGTGAGGCAAACAGTTTGATGTCCTGCGTCTCAAGTTACCTAACCTGGTTTTAGCGTGATATATGTGCGAACTTCCGGCGAAGCTGTCATTCGCTGTTTCATTTTCAGTTCTTTCTGACTTGGGAAAAATAGCCTGAGTCACTTTTTAAAAGTAGCCTTTATGTTTCTTAGAACCCGCTCCTTCCTCACAAATCGCGCCTTTGTTGAGCAACTTGTTCAATCTTTAAGAAAAGATGAACAGCGGTTGCGAACAGTAACTTAGCGAATAGTAGCTGGCTTCTCTAGTGGATTTCCTTGGCTTAGTGTTGCTGCCCTGACTCATAATTGAGACCAACCCGTCGAGGACAGTAGAGGTGTTCAATATGTCTCATTCGGCAGTTCTCTCAATTAGAAAAAAACCGTGTGCAAATGTAAAAATTGTCTTAAATGTCGAATCCAGCTTCAAGAAGACAAGTTACCTTCAATTTGACCAGTTTTACGAATCTTAGTACAACCTCAGAACCCTAGATAGAGTAAACCTCTTCGGAGATGTCAATTGGATTTTACTGTGACCAACTTTTGCGGCGCTGAAACCCCAATCCAAACACCGAGTTTGAGCCAGACACCTCGACACAAATCGTGGTTTTTGACTAGCCTTTTCTGAAGAGCTGAACAAATTTCCGTTGGCATATTGTTTAATGGTTCCAAAACCCAGCCATAAAGCTCCATCCGCAATGGAAGACCACCTCACTAAGTTATATTTGGCATGAAATTTTTGACTTCAGCGAGTGGCGCGTGTGCTTGCTGCCCGAAAGGTCTGTGATTCAAACCCAACATCTGCATCACGATTGCCCAGTTTTGGGCACCGTGGCGATATCTCAGCCCTCGTTCTTTCTTCGGGTGGCATAACAGTTAGGTGCCGAAAGGTGGTTACCGCTGAACGATCGTTATTGTCATAATTGATATTATTATAGTGATACGTGAATGTGCCCATGTACACTCTGTCAATGCAAACCTTGTCACGTAGGCCTAATGTGTTGCTCCTCGGAGCACAGTCCAGTTGTGCACTCGAGTTGAAGCTAATTCTTTTCAGGATAAAGTGTACGAGGCTTTCATAAGAACTAACTTAGGGAGCAAAACTGGTCGTATGAAGCTGGCTTCCCTTAAGGGACACCTAGGGATGAACGCCTCCATTTTTGTCTTTACCGGTCCGGTCATTTATTCTGACACCATAAACTAAGTTACAAAGCAAGCATACCACCAGATTGCTGTGTTTCCTCCTTACAGACATTCTCAAGAAATAAACACTTCGATTTTGGTGAATAGAATCCCTGAGGTACTTTACAAGACAATGCACAATAGACTTCGCCTCACCCTTCGCACTTTACCTACAAACTTTAAGGAAACACACTGTATTGCGTGAACGTCTCCCGTAGCCATCCATTTTTTTCACGAGGTGAACGATTTAAATATAGAACGATAGCTGAAACATCAGTATTTGGAAAAGTGTACTTACTAATTAGAAGATGGGTACGTAACGCATATGGCATTTACTATCATTCAAGAGTGCGAAATACCTATGAGGCCATCCTGGAACACGAATATTGAACAAGCAGACTTCAAAATGTACGTGGGCCCTTGTTTTTTCTAGCCGGTCGAGTGTACTCACCAATGCTGTGTACTTCGGTCGTTCTTTCGTCGTTGCATGGCCTTAACGGTCTAATACGGACTGTTGCGCGGTCAATTCTGTACTCTAACATGCAGGTTGGCCGAGTATTTTCATGAATTGTCATTCAACCAAGCATCGAATGTACATGGCAGGAAGAAGTTGTCAGTAGTGGTCACATAGGTTCCGAAGTAGCTAGCAGATTATTGCTGGCCATAGGAATCACTAAGACTGATTGATGTATTGCCAGATGGTTGCCCAAGCCTAAACAGGAACAATCGAGATACCGAGGTTGGGTTCGAACCACGGATCCTCTGGCTAATAGATTCGCGCCTTAATCAATTTTCATGTATAATATAGTAGTACCATAGTCTATGTGAACTGTTCATCCATCCAGACTTGCCTCTGGTCTTCATGCACTTCGGATTTGGATAGCAGTGAAGTTGTTGTTTCTCTCTGTTGCCCAGTAATCCCTCCAAGTTATTGGAAACATTGACGAAAACGTGCTTGTTGGACTGTATATCGGTTTGAGAAATTCCTACGTGATAAGCTTTACACTCACATATGTCATTCAACCCTTTCGGTTGCACTCCGTTAAAGATAGTTCACGCTACGGTGTGCACATACGGGGCTGTGCGAATGACAGTCGACACTTTGTTCTTCGATATAAAGTGACTTCGTCCGAATTGCTCATCTTCTAAATACGTTTGATTTTCAATCGATCCGTCAGCTGGTACTGAACACACTATCAGTGATTGCTGTCACCAAGGTGTTCTTGAGTTGAGATGCCTTAGTTGAGGAAGGTCGAAGGATTCAGGTGGACGAGCTAGCTCCACAAGAGTCCCGCTTATAACCTATTGCGTCTCATTTCCACAGTCGAGTTAAAAACTTGTGACTTTGTCTAACCTGCATTTGTGGTCTCTTTTCTCATTGAAAACCACTTTGTCAAGTCGCATTTCGATTGATCCTCATCTTCGGTAGACGATGGATCAATTCAGACCGGTACCTGAACACATCTTACAGTGGAGAATTCTCACGACAAATTGACCATATCTCAACTGTATACATAATTGGGTCGGGTGGCACTAGACTTGTCACACTTATGGTGAAGGCAAACTGCTGCATTGGTCGATCGATAGCTTAGCAGTGTCTTGATACTTGTGTACACGATCAGCTCCTCCTTGATTACAAGAGGGCCAACGCCAAGTTAACCTTTTCCGTCTGGTGACTTTGTATTGTAATTAGGCGGGGGTTGGTTGGTTGCTGTAACATTGGATGGTGATTCTAGGGAGAATGTCATCAGCACTGATTCGAGCGGCGCATTCATTCCATCTTACTCTCACTGCGAATAAGACAACCACCAGCAGCTAATATGAATGGGGGATTGTCACACTCTCTAAAGCACCCAAACTTTTGAGCCACTCCTGTCTAACCCGATTGTCTTCCTTTTGGTTCCATCCATATCGCCAACTTTACCGCTCATTTTGTTGTCTTCTTATTTGTTTCATCAGATCATCAGTTGCTCGAAGAACCCACTCGAACCAGTACACGGGAGCTGTTTATCCTCGCTCATCACAGCCTACGAGTCTGTATGACAAGTAAGAAAATTTCTTGGTTTCCTGTAGTTTACGACCCATTCTCTTGAATAGTTTTGTATTTCGTTTTTCCGGGACCTGTGTGTTCTTTGTGAGGAACCACGGTTGACTTTTGAAGGAAAACAGTTGAATTTGTTATTTGACAATATCTCTTCCGCCAAATAAACAACCAACGAGATTTGTCAACTGTGTCATTCTTTCGTAGTGTAGTGCAACCAAGAACTGGTCGCGAACTTTTCTAACTATTCTTCGTATACTTCCAAACAGCACAGGAAGTGTGGTGCATCTCAGCTTGCTGAGTTCGACTGCGAACTATTTCAGTGTCAAACAACCCGAAAAAATGTTGATTGATTAATTCCGTCGAATTCGGTCTGCTCGTGACCAGCTTACCTGCAAACGCAATGAACCCAGGTACTCCATGTGTAGTTTTATCGATGTATGAATACCAATTCAGTGCAGAATTTCGTATTAGTGGCTTTCGTTGACCTACTTGATTCATGACTTATCAGACTGTCTAAAGAAAGGCTGGCTACGCAAGCCAGAAGCTTGGTATGGCAGACCACCTTAGATCCCAATATGTTAGCGCCTATACCTGCATGGACGACAGCCTAAGCTGTCTATCAACTGAACTAAGACCGAAGTGGCCAGACGACTTTGTTTCACGCTTATTCATCGTACCGTGAAGCTACGTTGTTTGCGCCTCTGTGAACCGCATATTCGATTCACCGTGCAACTTCAATTTCCATTTATTGACTACGATGGGTAGGCCGACTCATTGAGTAATTGGTTGTTCAATTACTTACCCTCAAAATTGTTCCTGAAACACAAGTGAACCTGCTTGCGGTTTATGAGACATGGGAGACAGTTGAGCGGCTATCAGAAGTGGTCACTCATGTTGACGTACCGATCTATTTTCGATTCTGCTTGGAACATGACTACTCGCGAGTAGTCAGAGCATAAACTAAACGACCTTTAGATACTCGAATGGGATCCAAGACTTCCATCCGTCGTCAACTCTCTCGGTCGCACCGGAACTTCCGCCTTTCTTCTTCGTACAGTTTACCTCCTTTGCACCGTTGGTACTTTAGTTCGGTGTGACTTCAAAAGGGTCACCTGAGTGGAAACACGTATTGTAAAAAATTTGCCGGACCAGTGCATTACACAAGTGCCTCCAATATAAAACGGCCTTTTCTGTTGTGTATTTCATGAGCAGTCATGTCAATTTAGTTCTGTTAAGTACTCTCCATTGAAAACGTATGAACGTGAAGGTGTCTCTCTTGGTTGACCAGTACGCACGCAAAACCTACAGTCAAGTTAGAGGGTGTCGGTATTTTTCGGAGATATGCATAAAACAAGGTGTTGTTCGATACTGAGAGATAGCGTGTGTTCTGGGCGTATCTGATGCATTTATTTCGTTGTTGAATTGAAAACAAGGGGAATTCACAATCACCACAGTCACGCGATATCTTTCAGGGTTCTAGGATTTCATGTCATAGATGACCATCATACAGTGGAATCAGGTGGTAGACTCACGGCGATTCTCGCATCACGCTGTCTAGTGATAATTTCTTCCCGTCTTTTTTGTGAAGAGTTATTTGGAGAACTGTGACTTCAACGTGGTCCTTACCACTTAATGAGTCAGGTTGTGGTTTCTGTCCGAAATCCACAGACTGTCTTGCGTACGTGTAACAACGAAAACGTGGGGGAAATGAAATGGTTCCTATTTAGCCTAAACAAGTTCTTTTTTAATGTGCGTGGACTGCAGAGGGGAATCGTGGGTGTGTGAAAGACGTCCGCGTACTTTTAACAGAGGCATGCCAAAGCGCCCTTGTAGAGTCATTAGCCGTAGAGGATGTCGGCTACTCGGGAACGATTCTTCCACTTAGTCAGAACGGACCTCAATAGCGTTGCCCTTCTCTCTAGCACGCAACATGTTTTTGGATCTCTGTGGATTGAGTGAAAACTGGTTGCTGATATGGGGGGCCTGATATGTACTGAAAGTTAGGAGGTTCTGAGTTGAATGGAATCGGAAAAATGGAGAGCTTAGTAGCGTTACACAAAAGGTACGTGGCACTGCGCTTTTTCCAGACAGTCGATCTACCATTTCCAGGTTCTAACGGGTGAAAACTGGTGTCTCTGTGCCTTCTCTAATAGTTGTGAGTAAAATTCATGCATACGACGGCTTTACGGCATTTGCCCGAATTGTTTTTCGGTGCTGTGTCTTGTGTTGTATGAAATGGTTTCAAGATTGTCCGTCGGTCGGTGGTTCCCCTGGTCTTTAATCTACAATTCCGAAGGTCTTCGTTTTTCATCTCTTTTCTAGTGAACTGATGACAGATGGAGTGTTTAGAAACTGAACGAAACCTCATGTGTTCGTTTTCTTAGAAATAATTGCATGAATTGAGTGTGAATAAAGCTCGTGAAGTGCACTGGGCAAGTGATGCTGTATTTCTTTCCTGCCAGTGGTTCCCATTTTGTGTTTCTCCCACCATACTTACGGTAACCATTGCTTTATTTTGCTCGTGGATGGTGCGAACACCTTGGTTCTCAAAATGTCTCTCCGTTGCTGCCTCCTCATGATGTCTTCCAGTCTAGCAGATATTCCCCAATCCCACCACACTGAATGAAATTAACACGTCACCCCTTTGATTTCCTTATTGGTTTGCGCAATACACAGACCTTGGAATACATAATAACTATCGTTCTTTGTGACGACGTTGTGGTCACAGGTGACGTAAACACGAATCTGCTACCAAACGTGTAAGCCGATACTGCTATCGCATCGTTATCCACCACACCATTCAATGGCTGGCCCATTCAGTAACACAATAACATGCGAAGAAAAGTTATTTCCACAGGTCGATGGATAAGTTTGCATCCGGAGCTCGTGGGGAATGGTGCAGAATGGTCTGCTAAGTTGACGATGCGTCGTCCTTTTAGTTCACAGGGAGGTGGAAGGGACTTGATATTTGTTTTATGGGGTTTGAACGTTCACGGGAAGCAATAACGCTACTTCACAACCTGGGAAATCTGTACTTTGCACAACAGTTTAAACCTCCGGACTTACGGAAGACAGCTGGAGTTGCATTTTTACCCTAGAATCAAGGTACAGGATCTTTGTAACGTTGTTTTCCTGAATTAGTCTCCAGCTATTGATGCTCTGAAATGACCAGTAAACAGAAAAGCAGGGATACGCATTGCTCGTGTACATGGGAATTTCGAACTGATGAGTGGCGCTGATCTGATTATTTATATTTTTTGAAATCGTCAATTATTTATTGCCCGATTCGGGCGTCAAACACGACGGCCTCTTTCGGTGAACTGTGATCATTTCCTCATTGTTTTTGTTCTTCCTACAGGGTGTTCAGATTGTCCTCCCGAACAGGAGGGACGTCATCGGTGGGCTCAGTTGGTCGCGTTAACGAAAATGCTTCAGGCCATGAACAGGGAACATCACGAAATACTGACCTGCTTGAAGGTGAGTGGCATATATATATATATATATATATATATATATTGGACGTTGCG